AGACGCCAGCGTCCTCGGTAACCGGCAGCAAACATCAATTAAACATTTTGCTTTTTGAACACGGCGACGGGCTTTTATTGAATTTTTTTTAGTAGCTCGTGCACAAACAGATTTATCCCCCTCTCAGCTTAATTAGGTTATCAGGTTGATAACGGGCCGAGGTTCTTCTCACAGCTGGCCCTCTGATTGGAGGGGCAAAGGGGTGGTCTCAGCATAATTAATGTGACGTTATGAAGATGACTGAACGGCTTTTTAATCCAAAATTTACAGCAAATGAAAAGGATTCCAAGTGCAGACGCATCCATTTATGACATATTCCAAGAAGTTCCAGACGAAAACCAGCCGGACTTTATTTGTAACGGAAGACGTTTCGCTTCTCATCCAGGGAGCTTACTCAGTTCAAAGAGCAGAGTGAGGGGTTCAAGTTATAAAGCTGAGCTCAGCTAGATGCATGTGCAGATTGACCTCTCAATCCTCACAATAAAGGTTCGTTAGGGTCTTTGTTAGTTTGACTCACAGAGGAGGAAATTCCTGATAGGAGTGAAAATGATAAGTTTTAGAAAGTTGAAGTCTGAGGCGACCTCCTCCGTTTAAAGATGAGCGAACTAGGGATGGACGATATTAGATTTTTGGCCGATATGCTTAAACGTATTTGTCCGATAATTGATACAAAACAGATTTTTAAAAAAAATTTCCCTACACCTACTTAGAGACCACATATCTTTCTCTGCTGTGGATTTAAAATACGTTAATCTGCACGGTCTTTGTCAGTTTGACCTGTTATCAAATGCAGATGTCAAAAAGGGCTGACAATGATGCAACACTTCAACTTGGATTATGTTTGATGTCACATTTATTCATGACGTTTACACAAAGACGACACTTGAACGGAGCTAATTTGTAAATTTTCCACAAATCTAAACTCAACCTGTTCAAGTGAAGTGTGCAAGTAGTAGTGCATTAATAGATACTTGACAGTTTAATATAAAAGTGAACTTAAAACAGAAGCCTTTAATGTCAGTGAGTTATTTTGATGGAATGTCCGATATTTAACTTTATTGCTAATATCGGCCGATGCGATACTGTTCCAATAATATCGCGATAACAAACCCCTTTTGTGAGGATTGATAGGGTAATCTGCACATGTATCTAGCTTAGCTCAGATTGATAACTCCAGTTCTCTCTTGTAAATGAGTCCCCGAGGCTCAATGGGATTAACCTGCATAAATAAAGGTTGAATGAACAACTCGAACCCACACTCTGTTCTAGGAATTGAGAAAACTCCTCGGATCAGAAGCGAAACATCTTCAGTTACGAATAAAGTCCAGGTTTTTGTTTTGAACTTTTTTGAACTTATGCCCTGGATGACTGAGAATCGTCATCAACGTAATGATGACCTAGTTTGTCTTTTAAACGTCAGTCCTTCCAACATTTAGCTCACGTTTCATTTAAATGTCGTGATTTAAAATTTGTGATAAAACGTCTGATTTTAGGGACTTTGTGCTCGGACTGATATGAACCAAACGAAGCTGTTCCACGTGTGTGAACCAGCAGTTCCCATGCGACAAACGTCAGCCGTAAAGAGAAGAAGCTGATTGGTCAGATATTTAAGGCTGAGCCGTGACGTCAGGGATGAAAAGTTGCAACAGTGCTGATTTCTGCGTTTGTGTGAATGTGAAAAAATCCAGACGTGCACGGGTTGTACTGAACACATTGCTGTCTTTATTAGAGCCTCGTCTGGCAGTAATACTGAAAAAAGTGAACTTAGAACAGATGGTGGTGGCAGCCCACAGATATTTATTTATTTTTTTTGCCTGTTTTTTTTTTCTTCATTTATTTTTTTTGAGAGTTCTGCGACTCTCCTGCGTTTCTGTGGCATGGATAAACATCAATAAAAGAGACAGTAGGGAGAAGAAAAAAGAAATATACAACTTATATTACACTGTGTTATGAACAAAATATAAATCTATAACTCTGTTATATTTACATAATTATCTGTCTTGATTTTTCAAGTTGAGATGGTAGGATACTTTTAGTCTAACTTGTAATAATGACTTTGTTTTGAACTCCTCGTGATTGTCTTAAATAAAATCCTTTTCATTGTCTCAGTGGGGACAGACCTTACCAGCAGGAATGATTGATGCCTCGACGCCCCACGCGTCTCTCCAGCATCAGGTTTGAGAAATGATCGAAGGTGGGGGCGACTTTACAGCACGGTTAAGACCCACAAGCTCCTTTTTACGCAGCGCGTCGCCAACGTTTGTAGCCAGAAAGATTGCGGGGGTCGCTACCTGACGTCACACCTGAAGAGAAGCTCCCGCAGCGTAGCGTGGAGCTAAAACAAAGCAAAGGCTCCTGAAGAGGGTAAACATGCCCCCCGCCCCCCCACCATCAGAACACAGTGGAACATCTCCATTAAGTTCATTTCATCGGATTATTTTACTTTTTTTTTTTTTTTTTTGTTGAAGAAAGAAACACAAAGGTCACTGAAATAACTTAAAACAATGAAAATAAGAAAAAAAAATACTGAAGTGTCGTTTTTGAACTTTGATTCAACAGAATTACTTTGATAAAATAAATAAACTGGTTCTGACAAAAAGAAAAGTACCTTCAATAGAACTAACTTCTGTAACTGACATTCCTGCACCTGTGGACCTGTGCAAAGGTGAACAGGTCCACAGGTGCACAGGTGAACAGGTGTGCTCCTCATGAACAACCTGCACCAGCTATCTGAGGAGGTTTGAAGGGTTATTTCTCCAGATGTTTCAACTCCTTCCCCAGATGTTTAACAGAAGGCCTCTTCTGAACAGTCCAGTGTTTGGTTCTGACCCGTTACTGTGTTTTGAGTCATTGTCCTGTTGGAGGACCCATGAGCTGGACTGAGGCCAAGCTTTCTGACACTGGACACATCTGGCTCCAGAATGCCTCGATAGTCTTGAGGCTTCATTGTGTCCCCAACAGATTCAGAACACCCTGTCCCAGAAGCTGAACAGAACCTCCTCCATTGTCCACTGCAGCTAAAAGGTTCTGTTCTGTTTCAGTTGTGGTTCTGTGGACACAGAGCTGATGGGACTTGATGTCCAGAAGCTCCAGTTTGGTCTCTTCTGTCCAAAGGACATTTTCCCAGGAGTCTCGTCCTCTCAGTATTTCAGTTTGGTAAATTCCAGTTTGAACATTTGGCGTCCTCCTCCGTCTTCTTTCATTAAGTCCATCTTGTCTCAAACGGACCGATGACCTTTGACCTTGGAGTTCACCTCTAATGTCTTTTCTTGCGGTTTATCTGTCTTGAATTCGTCATCAGTTGTCCCTCTTGTGGACACATCCAGGGAGGTCGTCTCCTGTCCTCTGGACCTTAAACTCCTCAATCTGTGCAGCTGCAGTCAGAGGAACTGCTTGGAGATGATCTCAGAGTCTTAAACCTTCAACGAGCCAGTCATGTCCTTTCTAAGCTCCAGAGACTATTCTGTCCTCCGCTTCCTGTGGTCCAACTCTGTCCTCAGCTTCCTGTGGTCCAACTCTGTCCTCCGCTTCCTGTGGTCCAACTCTGTCCTCAGCTTCCTGTGGTCCAACTCTGTCCTCAGCTTCCTGTGGTCCATGTTCGGTGTGTTACACACCATGACACCAACCAGCCCTGTGACTACCTGACACCCTGTAAATGGACAGACTGAAGACACCTGAGTTGATCCTGTCCCTGTGGTCACATTAGTGACTTCCTTTTTTGTCCAAGTTTGTTTAAAACAATTTAGGTGAACTAAAATTCAAAGTACAATTCACATTTGTTGATTTTAAGTATTTTCCATTAATCTTATTTCAGTGACGTTTGTTAGTTTTTTAAATGAAAACTGGGTTTGAAGCAGAACAGCATTAATTTGTTTGTGTGGAGATGTTCTGTGTCCTGGTGAGGGGGCCCCAACTCAAACTGGGGGGGGGCCTCTTTGCTCACAGAAAAACTGATTCTCAAAGAAATATAGGATTTTAAAAAAGGAAACCTTCACATTGTACATGGTGATAATCATTACATAGAAATCTATAATAACAATAAAAAAAAACATGTTCTTCTTTTCCGTCGACTGCGAAGAGTCTGAGTGCTTCTTAGAAACAGGCTTTTTAAAAAAGTTTGGGGGGGTGGGGGGGGGGTTCAGCTCAGAAGAAGGCTGTCAGTCCAGCTCACCATCCGGAGGATTAATACAAAACATTAAGGGGGGAACAAAAAAGACAAAAGCAAAGCAAGATAACAGAAGTTCTGCTTAATCTAAATATCTAAACAGCTAAATAGAATAATGTTTCTGTCATAGTCTCACATAAAACCTGATAGAGGAGAAAAATAAATTATACTGTACATAAGTTACTAAACTTAGGAAACGCTGACCAACTGTTTAATCCTTGTTAATATTATTATTAGACTAGAGGCAGATTTGAAGAGAAATGATAATAAAATACAGTTTTCAAATACAAACACTGACTGGCTGATGTGACTCTGGCTCCGCCCACAGCAGGACCACGTCTGATTAGAGAGCGAGCAGGAAAACGTTTGACAGCTGTGTGTGTGTGTGTGTGTGTGTGTGTGTGTGTGTGTGTGTGTGTGTGTGTGTGTGTGTGTGTGTGTGTGTGTGTGTGTGTGTGTGTGTGTGTGTGTG